TATTACACATTACACGACTTCAGCAACCATTGGACAAAAGCTAGGTGCTGACTGTATTGACAAATCCAATGAAGCCAAGCATTCGATGGGCCACACTCGGCTGGACATTCTTCATTGCCGAGAATGCCATTTTGTCCGAGAATCGCTCCATGATCATTGAACAGTTAAGAACGGAACAAACGGATGGTGTAGTGTTGACAGATGCGATCGTCTCACATATTCATTGCGTTATTATTCAAATTTTATCAGATTGGGGGACGAAAATTATCACTTAGTCTATGGAACGCTGTCTACAGCTGCAACAGCTTCGATTGGTTACGGCTACTATCAATTGAGAAAGGCAGCACAATCATCGAATGTGACGAATCTTTTGAAATCCAAGCCTCCGGTTGGAAATATGGCAGGAGCATGGATATTCATGTCAGTCGGTATTTTCTTGGCCTCTCAAGGTCTGCCTCGCATGCAAATTCCAGTATCCAGTTCTGGGGGCTCCTCGTTGCAAGTTCGTTGCCCTTTTGACTTCACCGGAAAAAAGGATAACGACAGTTCTCCCGTTTCCGGCATTGATCGAATAACGAGGTACGCCAGGAATATGAATCACCAGCGCGTCGTGGGATATTTTTCGCTAATTCGTGTTATACCTTAGGCACCCAGGTCTTTGGTCGATGGGGCTCGTGGGGATAGGAAACAGCCTTTTGGCAACCTCCGTGCCCATGCGACTTTGGTGGAGCGGGCCTGCATTCGTGGCGTGGCTTGGAGGTGCTCATACGGACAGCCGTTTTCGACGGGGTTTGGGCGGTCAGATGGATCCAATGTATGATTCTCTGACATCGAATGTGCCTTTCTTCGCGCTCGTGAGTGGGAAGCAAGGAAGCGGTTCCTGGAAAGCCTTGCAACATGAGACAAAAGAACTGAATGCATTAGCATCAGTTGCTGCGAGCACCATCTGGATATTGCGAAGGATCAGATAACTATTGACCAGCAGACTCACTAATGGTTTCATTTCGTATCACCACTGTCTATTCCAAGTGTAGTAGTAGAGTTCTTGGGAATCAATGATCCAGCACGAGCTTCATCTCGCAAGAGATTGTATTCTATCTCCAACTTCCTTTGAAGATGAAGTTGTTGCTGGCGCAAAATATTGATAATAGTACCGACCAGACCCGAGCCGTCGTTGCATTGCTTTGCCTACCGGTACAGTACCGCGGTACTCTGTAGGTTCCATTATCATCATGTGACCTTACACAACGTCTTTCCATCCATCCGTACTGACCAACAAGACCATGTTCAAATATTTGATCGTTGTGCGTATGGTGATGATATTCATCATCATCGCATAGGTAAATCTCAAACCTGATACGTACTACTGCATTCAATCCTTCCTGCACAATCAAGAGTTTGGAAGCGATAATAACAATGATCACTACTGAAGAGAATTTCCCGAATGACAGCCATTGTGACACATTACAATCTGAAGCAAACAACGAATTGAGTTCACAGCTACTTTCCGAACCACTTTTGGACCAGAATGAGGTTCCGAATGATGATACCTCCAACAACAGCAATGGCGATTACCCTTCCGCGTCGCGACTTTTATTCTTCCGATCCATTTATTTCTTAAGTGGGCTATCCAGTGCAACCTGGGGAAGATTTGCAGTCATTTATTACAACCAAGTAAAACACCTGTCATCGGAACAGATTGGAGTTCTTCAAGGTCTACTGCGCCTGATGGGGTTTGTGACTTTGCCACTCTGGGGATATGTGGCAGATATGATTCAATCGCGCAAGAAAGTTTATCTCTTTTGCAATACCATGTCTGTGGTTTCATTATTGCTACTGTCGCGAGCACAAAATTTCCTTACGATTCTATGTTGTGTCATTGGCATGGCATCCTTCAAGTCGTCGGGTGTGCTGGATGCACATACTCTTGATTTCTTGGGTGAAAGGCATCGCGGAATGTATGGGACAATTCGAATGATGATGGCTATCAGTTGGGGTTTGGGAGCCGTCATAATGGGTTGGATTACAGATAAATATGGTTTTGATTGGAACTTTGGGTTATTTGGTGGAATGATGACAACAGTTCTACTCCTCACGGCATTTGGCTTGCCATCGAAGAGTCAGAAAGAACAAGAAAGATACGACAATATGAACCGTTCTCATAATGATGATGGTCAAGAAGAAGAAGAAGAAGAGGGGATAGTCTCAAGCTCCCCTCAACTGTCCACCTTGTTCGCATCGATCTTTCGCTTCCCAGTGCTGCTTTGGCTCACGGAAGTTGCTGTTATTGGCTCGGGGATGAGCATAGTCGAAACTTTCCTCTTCGTTCATATGCAAGACGACCTTCAAAGCACTACCACGCTTTGCGGTTACTCGGTTGGTGTGACGGTATTGTTGGAGGTTCCAATTTTTCACAACTCCAAATATCTTCTTAAGGAATGGGGCCATGACAAGCTATTCATGATTGCCATGATAGCATACATCATCCGCGCATTTGGTTACACTATGCTCACGACTTCCACCGTTCACTGGGTGCTAGCTCTGGAAATCTTCCACGGTATCACGTTTGGCTGCATGTGGATTGCCAGTGTTGATTTTTCGGCAAGAGTTGCTCCCGAAGAATGGTCGACTACCTTTCAATCTGTTCTCTCCATGACCATGTCTTGTATTGGTGGCGGAATAGGCCCTATTGTTGGAGGCATAGTCATGGATCATTTTGGAGTCAATCTCATTTTTCAAGCAATGGGAGTGGTGGTCCTTTGTGTGGCCTTGATGCACTTGATTGTTTGGCAAGGGTTTGGTGGCGGCCACGACGCATTTCTGAGCAGCATCGTGGAATCAGAGTCAGAGTAGCATTTACAACTGAAATGCTCTACCTGCAACATGGAAGCAATCGATTGATTCTATACACTACTGTTACACTAGAAGAGAAGTCAGTCCCCTTTTCAGGCTGTAATGGCTGATTCGATCTGACGTTGATTTAATCAAGTTCAGGCTGGGCATCTCTGCAGCTTCGGACAAATCAGTGTCAAAGGAAGTACAGTTGGACAGCCTAATGGAGACAGAGTTCGTATCTCTGAATTCGCCAGCAAGCTCCATCTCCTCCGTTTGGACTTCTCCATTTGCAGCATTGAATTCGACGAGCTCTTGGCGAATCTTTGCATTGAATTCGACGAGCTCTTGGCGAATCTTTGCAACAGCGAAAGCAAGTCAAAATCGAAGAGCTCGGTCTTGTCCGCCTCGATGAGCTGGTGTGTCCAAGGATTGGTAATTGGTACCTCCCCCATCTATCAATGTACGAAGATAGTTGCTTCGACATATTGGACAACGGTCATGATTCTTTAACCAGGGCTTTATGCAATCAAAGTGAAACGTATGAGTACATCGGGGATTCTGCGAATAACAGATTTCGTCGTTCTCTTCATATTCCGCCCAGCAGATGGGGCAGAACAACTCCTCTTCATGATCGACACCGCCGTCATCTTTTGGCATGGGTAAAATTAGATCCACTTTATGGAGCCGGCAGTTCCGTGGGGATGGAACTACTCCACAAAATCCTTTCTCCTCGTCGTGGTCGTCTTTGTTCTTCTCTCCTAACGGTGGCCTTTTGACTCTCTAAATTCATTAGGACCACATGTGAGCAAAGATCCATCCATATTGCCAAACCAACAAAACCCATTCTTACTTTCTTTATTAGCCGATTCTCGATGAGATCCTGTCTACATCTCGCCTTTTCTCGGGCTTTTTTTCTGTCACGTGGAATATCAACGCAAAACACCCTCAATCCTGAAAACACCCTATGTTGTGAATTTTTTTCGTAAGAAGTCCATGAGTATACCGTTACCAAAAAGATTAGCACTAAACCAGGGTTCGATTTATGCCTAGTCAAGGTAGACTCACATTATGACTGCAAGCAACAAGATTAAAATAAGAGATGTCGTGCTCGACGACTCGTCCTCGGAGCCCGTCACGAGGGAAGCAGAATCATTTGTGCAACCGTCATCAGATGACGTGCAATTCTGCAACTGTCGAACAAGGGAGCGATGAATTGCGTTATCAGACGCTGATTGCAGCATAGCGGGGGATGTTTTTGTGATGGTAGCATCAGAACTGTGCCGGCAGAAAAGTTCGCTTTCGAAAGAGCGTTTGCGTGACATGATACGAACCGAAGAATAATGACGTAGAATACATCATGCGCCGCCAGCGCGTGACGAGTGACGAT